TGGGAGCCCCCGCCCCGGTTCAAGGCGGGAGAGAGCCTGCGGGCGCCCCGGGCCCAGCTCACACGGGGCTGAAGCCGCCAGTAACGGGCGGGCGGGCACCAGGAAGGGAAGCTAGAGCCCGGCTGCCTCCAGCGCTGGGCTGGGGAGCGCTGCCCCCAGGCCCTTCCCCCTTGCTCCGCGTTCATTTCCTTTTCAACAACCGCACCTTCTCCTTTGCTGCCCCCCCGCCCTTGTCCCTCCTGCTCCCCACATCCCCCTGCCCAGTTTCTTCTCCGCTCTCCGAACCAGGAGTGGGGTTATCCTCCAGCCTCTGTTCTTTGGAAAAGCATTGAGGAGTTAGCAGCTGTTTTTGTTGGTGGAAGTCCTTCCTTTCATGTCTAAGTAGGGTAGGAAAGCAGTGGCCATCTTGAGTGGCACTATAACAGGAGTTTCAACTGCTTTTGTACCAGGACTTGTTTGTAAACATCAATGGCCAGTCCTGGCCTAGTGCCCCCCACTCCTAGGCATCAGCCCCCCGTTGTGTGGGGCAGCCCCAAGCTCTGCCAGCCTGCAAGGGAAAAGCTGCGGTTTCCCATGGTTTTCTCCTTTAAGGGAGAATCCATTTTTAAAGGTCGTTCACATCCCTTTCATACATTCTCACGACCCACTTTTGGGTTGCAAAATGCTGCACTATAAAGTTGTAAGGGTCGGCAACTATAGAAAAAGTTTGCTTTGCTTGTAAGTACAAGCAAAATGGCAGTGGAGGTTTTTGCCATCTGGAACCCCAGCAAACACTGAAATGGAAGCTGTCACCCATCAAGCTCACTGCAGTGTGGGAGCTCGTTCTATGAATCACCTGCAGAATCAACCTCATTTTAAAGCTTCATAGTTGGCACATCTGTAGTCTTGAATACATTTTGCCTTGTCTGACAAAAAATCCTGCAGTGAGTCTAGATTGTACATTTTTGTTAATGAGCTAACCACGCACTGGAACTAGATCATTTTCACAGCAAGTAGTAATTCCATTTTAGTATGCAGTCAAAATGAGGAAAGGTGATTTTGTGCTTCAAAATACTGAGGCTGTGATTTCCCATACAATAAGAACATACACATTTTAAGTACTTTAAACTGAGGGTCAGGGGATTTTTTTTCCCCTCCACCCTGTTTTTACTTGGTACATTTGACCATACTTTGACTATCAGTGCTTCAGGTGAGAGAAATTCACTTGTGCAGTGTGCCTTAGAATTGGGCATTTAGTGCACACATTCAATCACTGTTTCCCCTGTGTAGTCAGTCAGTTAGGTGTTTTTATTTTTTTGGTCTGTGTGGACTTTCAAACAGGGACAGGTGAAAAACACATCAGCTTAAGTATGTTTTAGTTATGGTAACCTTACAAATCCTGAGGGAATTCAAAGGTAAACTGGGGATATGAAACTAGAAATATACAAATTAAAAAAATAAGATTTTAATTTTACAGTAAGCCTGTAAGTTGGACATGCAATGCAGTTTCATCAGGGTGATGTACATTGTTTTTGTGCACACATGTAAGTTGCACCAGCATCCAGGAAAGGTAGGCAAGTAGCTATCCCTAAGAAGCTTGCTTGCAGTGGGTGCTATTACACTATTTCCTCACCAGGCAACTGGAAAGCTTGCTTGCCTATAGCAAGTAGCTTCCCTAGAATGGAAGACAGGCACCAATGTAACAAAACTATATTTTTACTACAATTTTTTTCTGAAGTGTGTCCTGGATTTGATATCTTCCATGTTGCAGGGGTTTAGGTTGTAGCCGTGCTGGTCTAAGGACATAGGCAGACAAGGTTCCTTGGGTGAATTTGATATCTTTTATTAGACCAACCCAAATAGTTGGAGAATATTTATTAAGCAAGCTTTTGGGCACTGACACTGGTGTAGGGCAGGAACTAGTAATGTTTTACAAGCCACAAGCTGGAACAACCCAGTTTCAGTCCAATGTAGTTTAGGTGGCTTTGGCAGTGTGTCAAAGGTGCGGGGCTTTTCCCTGTACTAGGGCCAAGCAGCTGGGAGCTGTGCCCATACTGCCACCACTTCTCCCAACACCCGCTCCCCCACTGCACTGGAGGCACAGCTGGAAGTTGCCTGGTCTTGGCATGGCTCCCCATTGGCTGGGAGTGGAACCCATGCCATGCCACAGCTGGGGACTGGGGGAACTAGGGAAAATGGTGCGAGTACAGCTCTCAGCTGCTTGGCCTCTGTGCTGGGAACAAGTAAAGTGCTCCAGCTCCACAGACTGTGTCAGCAACCTCAGACTTAATTTATTTCAGGCTTTTGTAGAAACTTTGCTTACAACTAAGCCAAATAATTTTTAGTCAACTGCAGATTTTGCCATCTCACTGTTTAAACACTTTTTCAGATTTCTATAAATGCATTCAACTTGATTCCTGGTCTGGAACAAATGATTTGAAGCCAATAAGCAACTCTAGAACTGATGGCAAAAAAAGCAGCCCGAGTAACATTATTTTTGCAAACTCCTAACTACTGCATGAGAATAAGCCAGTGGCAATGTGTGGGGGGTGCTCGTGCACCCCCCGAGTGCTGGTGCGCCTCCTGACCGGCCACGCTCCCTGCTTAGGTGATGGGCAGGGGGCAGGTGGGAGCACCAATGCCCCGCCTGCAAGCGCTGGCCATGGCTGCTTTCGGGACCAGTGCAGCCACTCACTGGTTGGTAAGTTTTGCTGCAGTGAGGACCCCCTCCCCACCCTCCTGGTTGCCTACTGGTCACTGAGGAGGCATGTGCCCCCCTGACTAAGGTGGCACCAGTCACCCGTGGAATAAGCCATTTTGCAGAGCCTGAACTTTGCAAGAGGTGTTCTTTATAGCTGGGAACTCAGCTACTATAGATGTATCATTCCCATCCTTAAAACAAAAAGAAACAGATTTTTTTACACTTTACCCTGTGAACCACATACATGTTGATTGGTGTTAGTGCTACCGTGGAGTCTGGAGCAGTCGTACCATTAGTCTAGAAACCTCTGGCTGTCCCCCAGAGGTGGTGGTGGTGGTGGTGTTGGTGTTGTTGCTGTTGTGTGTCTCGGGCCAAATTAGCCAAATCAGTTCTGAATCCAGTAGCTCCACAGGCAGCATATCAACAAATCAGTTCTGAATTCTGTTGCCTGAGAAGAACTCAATTGTTGAAGTCTGCATAGTACTACCACTGGCAAGTAACCTCGTTCCCACTCTTCAGCCTGGGGCTTCAGATACTCCCAAATCCATGGCAAGCATCCTATGCATTAGGGCCCAAGCCTGGATATCTTGGACCTGGGATGCCCCTGAGTCCTGCTTGCCCTTAGTCCAAAGGGCAAAGGAACAAGCTTGGGAGAAATCTCCCATTTACAGAAAATAGGCATATAGCTGAGAGCCTCCCATTGGGAGGCTATAGTAGACTCTTGAAGGAAGTCCTGTTAGCAGTGCATTGGATAGGTCTCCACCCTCTTCTACACGCTATTCAAGGTGGTCAGAACTACACTTGATCTTAACCCACAAGCTTGCACAGCTGTGACATGTCAAGAGGAGCCTGGCAAGCAGGGGCAGGACTAGCTGTAGCTGTGAGTTGCCACGTGGGGTCTGGTGAGCCAGGACAGGCTTCTATCCCTACTCGATGGTGGGGACGTGATAGATCCTGGGATACTGGAGAACTGCAACTTGGGGGTACCCGTGGAAAGTGGCCGCTCCTGAATGGAACAAGCGCTGGGTACCGTGCACATCAGGGAAAATCTTGCCCTGACGTGGCATCCCTTTGAGCGGCAAAACCAGTGTTTAAAACCACTTGAAGGTGCTAATTCAGGCTAGGATGGGACTAAAAAGCTTCCGCGTCCCTAGCAAGGAGCGCCCCCCAGGCGTGCGGCTCCCCCACCCCGTAGAACAGCAGCGTCCGGGGCCGGCACCGTGCCCAGCCGCTCCCTCGCCGCCTCTGTGCCACAACTCGCGAGAGCGAATGGATCCCCGAGACTCCACGAGACGTGACGACAACACCCAGCGCGCCTCACGATCGTAGTGGAAAGCCCCGTGGTCCGAACCCGGCCAGAAGCAGCAGCAACCACGCGGCGGCACCTGGGACTTGTGACTGTAAGTCACTTCCGTAGGCGGTGCTTCTGAGGCAGGTGGCCCGCGCATGCGCAGCACACCTGCTACACCCCCTCCCCCAGCGCTGCTGAAACGCTTGGAACAGTTCCTTACGTCACGCCTCCACGCAGCCGGAAAGCCCCGTGGTCCGAACCCGGCCAGAAGCAGCAGCAACCACGCGGCGGCACCTGGGACTTGTGACTGTAAGTCACTTCCGTAGGCGGTGCTTCTGAGGCAGGTGGCCCGCGCATGCGCAGCACACCTGCTACACCCCCTCCCCCAGCGCTGCTGAAACGCTTGGAACAGTTCCTTACGTCACGCCTCCACGCAGCCAATCGGAGTCGGCAGAGTGTTCACTGCGTCATATTCCCGCGCCACCCAGCCGGCCTTGCAGCACGTGTGCAGTGTTGTTGCTGTCAGCGTCCGGTTGGGGGGTTGCCTCGGTGCGTGCGGCTGCGCGCCCCGCGCCCGGCCTGTCATGGCTGGGCGGGCGAGAGAGCGTC